GGGTGCCTGTTTTTTCAAAGGACAATAAAATATAAAAAGCATTTCATTTTCTCTGATCGCTGGTCTGTTTAAGGGTGACATATTGTTCAAGATGGACCTATTGATAATAGCACAGATTTAAAATAACACTAAAGGGAATATTTACTAAACCTGTCACAAATTACTGTCAGGTGCGGAATATATTGCTGCACCACATTTTTATTTATTTAATAGCATATTTACCAACACTGATGATGTAAATGAGCACAGCCGCAGCTGTGTTAATACACCTCCACTTTGGATCTGCACACAGGAACTGTCAGAGATATGATATTTCAAGTGAGGGAATGAAAAGGGAGTGTCTCTAAGACACAGATTGAGAGAGAGACTGAAAGTGTGGGAAAGTAAATTAGTGAAGTGAGTCTACATTGACCTTTAGTAACTCCCTAAACAATGCCAGTTTCAGTTTCACCCTTCTCCATGGAAATGTGGCATGTCTGGTTGTTTAAGATCGAGAAGGTCTTAAGTGTTGGACATAGAGTGAAGGAGAGATAAGAGCCGCCCACTTCAACAAACTTTGGAAAATTAGGATGAATCCTCCAATCTGAGTCAGGAAGTGAGACAGTGAAGAGAGAAGACAGGTAAGAGGTAAAAGGATGTAATACATAACAGAAAGAAGGGAGACAGAGAGCAAGAACTTGGGTAAGGGGTAAGGCATGGACACAAGGAGAGAAAGAGAAGTGTTATGGTACGTAATAGTTTACATGATATATTGTACCTGCATATCTACAACAGAAATTACTAAAGTCAAAGCTAGTGCAGAAAGGGAATGACATAAAAACAAATATGGAATGTAATGAAATGTTTCCAGATTTTCAGTTTGTCTATTTCTCTGAGCTTGTGAAAAACATATTTGTGTGCAGTGTGAGAACGCGTGTGTCCATGTGTGCAATGGCTGTGTTTATGACTCTACATAGTCCATGTTGGAATGAAGTACAATATAAAAATCACCTCCATCTTGCCGTCCATGCTGTTGGGTGTGTGCGATGCACAGGGAGAGCTAGAGAAACAGAGAGTGCTGCACAAGCGTGAGTTGAATCCTCTTACCCCACCATCTGGGGAAGCAAACTCATGACAAATCATCCCAAGGGAATCAACACCAAGTCAATGAGTCTGTCTGAGCATGTGTGTCTTAAAATGTACTCAGCTATGTAAGCTTCTGTGAGCGCTCTCACCAACCCCAGCACACAGACACAAATTGAAACCCCGCAACATGAATCATCCTGCTATTCTGGAAGAAGTGGACTGCACCATCTCACCACTGGGGGACAGCAGTAAATCTGGCAAAAGAAAAACTAGCTGCTGACAAAATCCAAACCATCCAACACAACCTTGATTGTGTCTCTTTTGAAAACTACTTTGAAAATGTTGAAACTGCCTGCAAGTGATATTTGCAGGTCTGCTACTAAATGCATTCACAAAGTCACACATACTGCACATAAGCACTCATGAAGCCCTGAAGTCTTATAGATTTATGATGAGAACAACACACACCTCCTGGTATTTGGTGGCAGGGATAGGGTTCAGTATGGATCTGTGGGTGTGTGATTTTGGCTCTTCGGCAGAAAGGGACACAGTGGCAGACACCTCTGAGGAGACTTAAGGAGAGCTGGGATACTCTGACAAGACACCCCATGTCTGAGACATATAAACTCCCCTGATGCCCCTGTCTTATTTCCCCCATCATATTTTTTTTTCAACAATCCTTATTTCTCTGACACCTCTCTTGCTTTTCAGACTGCTCTCATGCTTCTCTGTTTCTAATTTCATTTATTTTCATTGACTTTTTTGCTCTTCTTTCTGCATCATCCTCGATGATTTTCCTCCGTCACATGTTTTCAGTGGGAGCAATATATGTGTTTTATTTATGTCACTGCATATGTCTGCTGTGTAAAGCTGGCTGTCATGGCAGCTGTCTGAGACCTAAACTGGTTGCAGCAGTGGAGGAGATAAAGTGGGGCTGTGTTTCTGGGCAGTGTTGCAGATTTATCTCTCTGCTTATGGCTCTGATTTTACTGCCCAACCACTGGCCTTCACTGGATCCCATCTCTTTTTCTCCTTCTCTGTCTCTCACTTTCCATAAGGGACCTGCCTCTCTCTGTGAATGTGCTGACTACAATAAATCTGCCACATTGCTCCATAAAGCTGCTTAGGGCATGAATCAACAAATATTAAGGAAGAGGAGAATGAATAAATAAAGCTAAATAAAAGAGAAACTCTCCTCTGCAGCGAGAGACAACTTTTCTGCACACAAAATGGGGCCTGGCTGTAATATATTTACCTTGCTGTCTCTGTGCTTTAGACACTGCTGGGAGTCTGTGAGGACTTACTGAATGACATCACAAATACTTTTTCTTTCTTATCTCCTCTGTCTTTCTTATGACTCTCTTTTTGCGATAGTAGTGCCATACCATTAGCAGGGAACCCTGTCATGATTCGGGTCCGCTGCTTCCCGTCCGGCTTTTTTTTTGACATTACTTCCTGTTTTTGTTTCACCTTAGTTTCGGTCTTTTTACGTTCTTCATCACTCACATTAGTTTCACCTGCTTCGTTATTGTTTGCACCTGTTTACACCTCTATTTAGGCAGCGTCCTCCCACAAGGATGCTGCCAGATTGTTCTAGACCCCAGCTCTGACTTTCCAGCATTTTCTTCAGTTTTGGTATTTTGTGTTTCTGATCCCGGACTGTTACCTCGGACTATTCTATTCTGCCTCGCCCACTTGTTACGGGCTGCCACGGTGTATGATTATCGGACTTTCCCTTTTGGACAACAAACTTTGGATTCCCCTGGATGTATGTGTTTGCTGGCTCTGACCTGGGACTGATACCGACTGTGGGTTTTGTGTTTCACCTTGTCTCGTATGGTTTTGTTTTAGTTTTAGCTCTCTTATTAAAGAGACGGTTTTGTTCAACACTTCCTCGTCTGGCCTTTTAATTGAGTTCACTAAACACTTTTTGGCAGCATCGAGCGCCGTTTCTGACAGAACCCCACTGGTTTAGATCAGATTACAAGTCATGAGTAGAAATAATTAGCCTGTGAATACAACTGTATAATGTCTTCTGTGGTTCCGGTATGAAATTTGACATGTTAAGTCTAAAAAAAACAACCCTGGTGATGTCACCTGCGTTATCTTTGGTTGGGTTTAGCCAGTGTTCAGACAGTCCAGTAAAATGCAACTCTCTTCTGAGTTTTTACGCAAGAGGCTGCATTGGTTTGGGGGGGTGGGGGTCACAGAGGGAGTGTTGCATGTGTATACTATACAGCCACATTGTGAGAAACCAAAGTGTGTGGCTTCATTCATGTTTCCAGCACAAGAGTTTTCACTGTGTTTTGGTTACCCATTCTGCTAACGTATCCTACTCTATGTTAGCACCAATTTCTACCACCAGTGTATCAACAATGATGGATAAAAACACAGTTTAACCTCCAGTACCCTAACCAATATAAATGCATGTCATGTTGCTATGGTGCATTAACTGTGGCCCAAATTCAAGAGTGAATAGCAATGAATGCTCATGCTAACAAAAGCCTTCTTCCAGTGGGCTTTCCCAGTACAAGATTGGTCAGCGCAGTGCCTTTGCCAGATGATGTCACCATCTGGTGTGGCAAAAGTTGAACCAGAGGGCTGTGGCATTTTGCTGGAACCCCCTACAGTGCTGGTGTCGGCTGTGGTGAATGTAGTCCCCCATAGAAATGAATGGAGAGGGCTGTGTTTTTTCACACCTTTGAAACTCAGTCTGAATGCAGCTTTAAACACAAACTGCATTACAAACTGGAGACATAGCAGTTGCAAAGACGCATGCTTTTAACAGGCATAAATGGTTTAACAGGATGTTATTGAACTGCATCATAAAAATGTGCCTACATAGGAAATGTATATTGAGGATTGACCCCTAGAAGTCTTGTGTATAAAGCAGGATATCTCCACCTTTGTTGCACTGACTTACACCATTCTCCTTTTAAAACTTTCTCACAAGTGTCCCAAGTTTAAGGAAGTGTTTAGTACTATACAGTACTAAGTGCACCCACCTTTCAATACATACACACCCCACAACACACACTAACACAGCAATAATTTGACATTGCTGGCAGTGAGAGTTTAAATAACTGCAGACAATTTGAAAGGACAAGCCAACGCTTTCCTCTAAATCTCAAAATGAAATAAAGACAGAAACAAATAGCTGAAGGGCCTGCATTGTGCAACCTGCACATGCATCTGTGTGAATATGCTCACATCTGAGGCTGTGCTTGTCAGTTTAACAACAGCAGCAATTTTTCACTCTTGATCAGCCAACCGTTCAGGCATTTTCAATGAGCTATACCCTTGTTCCAATAGCATCAGCTAGAAGACAAAACGCAACCACTCAGCGATTCATTGCACCTTCCCTGTCTCTGTCCCCACCCTCTCACTTTCTGCCACACACTCATCTGCTCCTTCTGTTTCTCAGACCTCTCAGTCTTCACCATGACAGACGCATTAGCCATTCACGGAGCAGCGAGCGCCATGTGGACAGCGGACGGCACCCAGAAATCAAGCAATATGCTGTCATAGAGAAAAACAAACACCACCATACGCATATAGTCACTCATGCACGTACACTCGTGTAGGCCCATCGTGACCCCACGTCAAAGAAGACAAACAGCGATAGAAAACGGCTGCCTCTCCATGTGGAGAGCCACCGTATGGAACCCTGGCATCACATGGGCTCTCCATTGTTGACAAAACAGCCTTAGGAATTTCAGAATCCACCAATTGCATATATGGAAAACACCTTCACAATTGTTTTTGTTTTTTTCTTCTTCTGCTATTTTTCCAGCAAATAAACCTGCCATCATCAATCTGTGTTCATCGCCTGGAGGTGTGTTGGAGAGGATTTGTAAAGTCATCCATTTCCTGTCATTTGGAAGTGACACAGACAGCACTGACTGCAGCTGGAGGAAATCCTGTGATTCTCTTACCTAGCTGAAGTTCCATATTGCTAATCTTGTTTTCCGAGGGAAACAGGATCTTTGGCGGCTTGTCAGTCAAAGGAGCTGAAAAGGAGAAAAGACACAATTTATATATGATATGAGACAAACTAGCAATACAAACTGTTACTGAAAAGTAGTGAAAATGTTTGTGTGTCCTCTTTATCTTTGCAAAATCATTGCTCTCTAGTGACTTTAAATCTTGGGTTCTATTCATCTGACCTACTTGTAATCACTGGGTTGTCAAAAACAAGCCGCCACTGAATTTACAGGAGTGTTAGGCATTTGAAGAGCCTGTAGTGTGTATGTCTGAATGAGAGGAAGCAGCTGATGCTCTAATGATGCTAATCACCCATACGGTGGATGTCAGACCTGCTGCTGAAATCCCTCCTTTGGGGAATGCCCAGAACATTCATCAGTTTAATTGCTGTTAAAAATGTGTGTTCTGCAAGAAAGACAGTGCTCCTAAGGACTGAAAGGTTAAGAAAGCAAAGATGGTACATGACGTATGGTACGTAACTGAAGTGTTTTAATCATGTGGAACTTTATCTTTCCCTCAAAAAGACAAGGTAGTCTTGCAATGCAGTTTTTTCTCCCATTTTTTTCAACAATGTTTAGCTTCACATTCACAAAGTCACACATATTCCCAGCAGGGATTTGTCTAGTACAGCAGAGTTTGATACCACTGGCCACTGAGCAGCTCTGCTGGAGTGGCTGCAGGTTTGAACCATCAAAAGCACTTCAGACATGTGCTGAGAGGGGTTTCACATTTTGGCTATGGCATCATAAAGGCTCTTAATACAAAATTAAAATGTGGACACCTGATATAAAAAAAAAAAAACTAAACTAAACACCGGTCTGACTCATCTACACTTATACTGCATAATTACACTGCTATCTGTGTTCACCTTTATGTAAAAGGAAGGTGATGTACTGTAGATGTTCTCTCTGTCCTGATTTCAATACTTTAAGTTTAACACTGTATATGTATTCAGTGATCCATTCAAATCTGCAACACAATATTTTATTTCTGTGCCATTGCATCATGAGGAAAACTTGGGAAATGTTAAGCTCATTATAACCCACATTTTACTGCTAGCAGGCATAACACGTTTGATACAGTATCAGAGACCTCAGAATTTCTTCTTCTGTATTAATATGAGTGTAGACTTCTCCATTGTATTGTAAGACCTGAAATAAAGGTGGAATTTACTGGGAAAAAAACTGTCTAGATACACTGTATAGAGCAGTATGTATGCCTGCAAATATATGTCTTTGTGTCTAGTTAACATTTTTATTTATGGTAATAACTCTATATATTACATTTTACAGTAGGTCAGATAAGAAGGGTATGATGTTTGAATACTGTGCACAACAGCAGAGTACACAGAGACACAGACAAAGAAGGATGCTGCAAACAATTATATACGGTGAGAGAGGCAAACCACTAATTCTGCACTTCCTAAACCAGCTGTGAAAAAACCGTTACTGAATAAAACAGACACTACCCCCAACACTCTACTGTAGTTCAATGCTTTCATTAAGATGCTTCCTTAGCGTGTACTCACAAGCCCTCTTCTTTTGCCTTATTATAAGAGCTTGCTAACAAGCTGCTTCAAAGCCCTGCTCCATTTTGATGGCTGGATTTGCGAGAAACAAGCCATGCAATGTTGCTGCGTTAAGTCATTCAGCACAGCAAAGCTCGTGGTCTTGTAAAGTGCTTGGTTTAAGACGGAATAATAAGATATTTATCAATTGCTTGAGCTGTCAGGAAGACGTTCATGTCAGATGACGCAGATGTGTTAATGAATATCATGTATTGGTCTGAATCTGTTTATTTTTTTTTATTTATATATTTGTGGTAACACCTGCTGGTGTGTAAATACTGACAGCGCAGTGACATCTATGAGAGGGGTGGTCATGGGCATTTAGGCACAACTGTTTACACTGTTAAGTAATCACACAACACAAATTACACTGGATACTGAGACAATTTTAATTACATATCAAACTGCTATACATAATTACACAATGGGTGATCCTATAGCTAATTATGCACTAGGCAAACAAATGACGACAAGCTGTGTACGGGGAGATGAGAGGGGAAGCAGATGTGGTAAGGGGAGCACAGATACGGTAGGAGGCAGACATCAGCAGACAGAAAAGGAGAGCTGCTGAAATGAAATGAATTAGACAGGAGAGAGGATGGAAAGGAGCATTTATAAAGCTAAAGTGAACCAGTCAAAAAACATGCTCCCTCTCATTTTGTCATGCAACACTTACTTCTGAAAATCTCATTATCTTAATTACCACTTCTTTATGGAAAATACATCAGTTATCACAGTTCGGGGAGGGGGACACCATTTCAAATGTGAAGGACTGGGAGTCTGTGCTTGCCATTAACAGGCAAAGTCTGGAATTAAGCAACCATAGACAAAAAGAGGTAATTAAACATGCAAATGTATCTGGTGAGTTGTTAATGAAAGGTTTTGGAAGCATCATGAGAATAATGATGGATGTTTCATGTATCTTATTTAAATTAAAAAAATGCTACAGTATATTTACAAGGTTATGATCATGTCCACCCATGTATTTGATCTCTTATTGATTTTGGTTCGAGTAATGTGCACACACATGGTTAATTAAGATGTGGCATCTTTCGAGGGCCATGTAAACACTTTTCCTATTGATTACAATTAGTCAGCTGTGATTGCCTACACGATCAGATGTATGACTAACTTTATTTTCTGGTCTGGCAGAATATGTGTTAGATGCCATTTGTCAAAGGGTAAATGTTATAGCCATAGATAGTTTTATATGTATATATGTCAGTTAAAAAGAAAATATTATATTAATGCAGGACCTGTAACACATGCACCATCTTTCATAGTTGTAGCCTGCACTGTACCCCTACTGTTTTTCTGTCTTTTTAAATTAACGTTAGTTAGCAACACAGCTATAGGTCTATTAATTGTGTGGCTGCAAGCAGCTACCAGCCACTTTTAAGGTGGAATGTCTTCCTGCATGTCAGTCTGTGAATTGACATTGTAAATCAATCACCACACCTTAGATTTAAACATCTCAAATTAGACCATTCCGTTTGTTTTGACCAGCTCTTTTGAAGGATGTACGCTTTACTGATGATTCGATCTTGAAGAGCTCACAAAAACATGTTATGAACTTCAACCATATTATACAAATATTCTTTTACCTTTCTTGGAGAAAAAAAAAGTGGCCGAATGTCATCCCATTCGTGCTCCAGCAGCACTACACCTATGGTTGTGATACTGCTGTGCGTTATTCATGTGATGGCTGCAAATTCTGATTTCATGTCCATACCACATCCAGTTTGGGTGATGAAGGATATTCACGTCCTTCATTATAGCAAAGGGTAATGGACTGCACTTACACTATATAGTGCTTTTTTAATGTAATGGACAATACACTTTATAATGTTCCTCTCATTCATACATTCACTGTGCAGCCCAAACCATCAGGAGCAATTTGGTGTTCAGTGTCTTGGGAAAAGACACTGCAGCATGTGGACAGGAGGAGCTAGGGATGAAACCACCAAGCCTGCAAGTAAAGGACAACCCCCTTTACCTCTTAAGCCACGGACCTCCCCCATAAAATTATACTTGGAGAACAAATTAAAAGCATATATTAGTTATAATAGAGTGTGACATGGCTGTTGATGAGGCGAGTCAGTTACTGTACATCTCCTGTATGAATGTGTCTTTAGTGGACCAGAATGGCTGTGCTGGTGCTTGTGCAGGTTTTATATCATGCGATCAGTGATTCCCCATAAAATATTTCTTAGGGCAGAAGCATAAACTATCCTCTGCAGCAAATTAGTAGGAATTCATTTCAGAAGGTGGCACAAAGTCACCGTGACACAATATCTCTGTAAACACTTCAACCACATGGCATTAGGGCTATATTCCTGGGATGGGTACACTGTTTAAAGAGAAGAATGTAGCATGCAGTGTGTAAGATATGAAGCAATCACATGCATGGCTGGGTTTGTGTTTTCAAAGCCTAAGGTTTTTTGCCACATGACAGTCAGTTTGAAGTAACTACGCTACATGTCTGTGAGTAGGTCTGAAGTGCTATTGAGGAGAGACTAAGTCAAGCTCTGTGTGCACTATGTATGTGTTTTCATCCAGGTCTACATGTAGAGTGTGAGTGGAACTCTGTGGGAATAAGCCTTCTGATCAGTCATCCACAATCCCATTTCTGCCTGCTGGTGGAAAAGCTCACTGGACTTTCCAGATGGATTATTCTGGATGACTGACTGTAGGGAAGCAGCAAATTAATGAATTAAGGATGGGGCTGACATATGTGGATCACTGGGTTTTTCTGTTTGTACAATTTGTGGGGGTGAGGAATTTGCAGAAATAATGCTATTGCAAAACAAAGATGACAAAGGTGAAAAAAAGAACAAATCAAATGTATGAATTACTGCTAAAAGTGGTCTATGGTTGTGTAGGCACTCACACAGGCATACAAATGGACAGGGCACTTAATGCAGTCACAGTGACAGATATTCACACACCAATTTATGCTTGGACATAGAGACAGGCACATACACTTGAAGTTGTGAACACAAGCCTGCATTGTCCTTTGTTCTCAGGAAATTGGTTTCAAAAGGTTTTCTGTATTTTTACCAACAGAGGCAGTCAAGCTGGAGAAAAAAAAAGGCAAAAATAGAAGAAAGGAGACTAGAGGAAACAAAAAGTACTCGAGTCTCCCAAGGCCGCTAAGCTTCACTAGAGAAGTCTCAGTTCTCCTCTACAGCTGGAAAACTCCCATACTGTCCTGCAGGACATGGCCATATATTAAGAGTGACCTTCCTCTGTACTGTTGCCACCTTTGAGTCACTTTCATTGCATTGCTGATGATGCCATAACCATCCTGTATGATTCCCTGTATGAAGTCACCTGAGACTATATAGAATTCAATTCCAGTCCTGACTATTTGCCACATGAGAGAAGCTGAACAGGGGGCCTGATGGGGCCATCTAGACTAAAGTAATAAAACCAGTTCTGTTCATCCTAAAGCACATC